AACCATAATCTCAAAGCCAGGGGGCAAAGCTATCCAAACACACATTCCCCCAAATATGCCCAGGACTGCAACATTTTCAAACAAGACTACGTCAACAAAAAGATTCGGATAATAGTGTTTCTTAACCTATCAAGACAATCTCACACTTTGGGGGCAAAGACAAAATCCCTCTACGTGAAGCCTTATATGGGTAAGATCAAGATCTGACTTATCCTTCACCCACGTGAATAAGCCACACTTCAAGAGCAAGAAGACTCCTACTATCAAAGTCATATCGGATAAAAGCCTTTTTCATGGGAGACCAAAACGTCTGCGGCGAACCATATGTAGATCTTCTAAATCAATTACATCAAAGGCTTCCATATTGAGTAAATCTTCACAAGAAACGCAGTTGGCCGGCCACAACATAAAGGCGACGTCTCAAGCTGACTAGAATCTTAATAATAGCTGAAATGTCGTACACTCCAATCACCTATAGGAATGAGTGATGAGCGAAATCAAAAGTGGGAGTGAAAGCGAGCAAGATCAAAAGCAAGAGTGAGAGCGAGGGCTTACTGATATTCTCATGGCTTGGCTTACACTTATTATATTGAAAAAAAATCAAATTTGGCCACGTGGCAACTACCACGCAAAAACGGTTTTATCCAGTTTGCACACACTTCTCGAAAGCAAAGTCTTTGATATGGCTTTCATTTTTAATTCTCTAATGAATATTTGCAAAAAAAAATTTATTCGTCTTAAGTCAAGATTGATAAGGTCACTCTTTGTTCCGAAGAATAGAAAGTGAGTACCATATCTTCGGGGGCAAAACCAATACACCATGGAAGATGGGGAAGTCTGAGAGCCTAAGAATCATATTAATCAACTTTTCACTCATGAGTTGATGAAGAAATCTCGGGGAGTTTGAGAACATTAAGATCTCATTAAGCCAAGAAGCCAACTGATTATCCACCAATCCTTCAACTACATAGAAGAAGATCCTCATATATCACACAGACCGAGAAATACACAACTCTGAAATATGTGGGCCCAATCCTGGCCGACAAGAAGGCTCAAGCAGTACACATGCTCAGCTCACCCCAAAAATTATATTTTTGCGCAAGTACCACCAAGAAGATATATGATATATCTCAAGACCACAATTTCAAAGTCTCTACAATACAAGCATGAACTATGGATCAAGTTGATCAAAAGGGATTGAAAATCTTGGAAGATGAGCAATTTAAAGGAGACCCAGGCAAAGATTTGCATAGAGATTATAAATGCACCACATCCTCTTTTTCACTCAAAATTCACGATTTCATCAACTTGATTTATCATCAATCAATTTCAAAAATCATCATGCATTAATTGCCAACAATCCCCAAAACAACTCATACATTTAGTTGGATTTCCAATGTCTGTTAAAAGAAATCATTGCAAGATAAAACACTGCATTCACATGAATTCTTCAAGTCTCACGTTTAGTCTTCACGTGCATTTATGACAAGCCACAACATCGGTTTAGCCGTTTAGGTATGTCCTAAACAAATAACAGAAACATACGAACAATCACAAGCCTTCTAATGGATTTGTTCCGCCGACTATTACGGACAAATAAAAAATTACCTGATAAACTTGTTTCGTCGGCTATCACGAGCAAATTAAGAACCTCCTTCTAAACTTGTTCCGTCAACTATCACGGGCAATTTAGAAATTAACTAGTCAATTTGTTTTGTCATCTATCATAAGCAAATTAGACCTCTACTAAATTTGTTATGTCGACTATCACGGACAATTTAGAAAACCTAGTCAATTTGCTTCGTCTTCTATCACAAGCAAATTAAAACCCTCATACTAAATTTGTTTTGTTGACTATCATGAGCAATTTAGAAATTACGTAGTCAATTTCCTTCATCGACTATCACGAGCAAATTAGACCCCCTAATGGATTTTTTCCGTTGACTATCGCGGACAATTCGAAAATTACCTAGAAAATTTGTTTCGTTGACTATCACGAGCAAAATAGACCATCCTTTTGACTTGTTCCGTCGACTATCACGGACAATTCAAAAATTACCTAGAAAACTTGCTTCGTCGGCTATCACGAGCAAATTAAATCCCTCCTTATAAAGTTGTTTCGCCGACTAACACGGGCAACATGGAATTACATAGAAAATTTGTTTCGTCGACTATCACGAGCAATTAAATTCCTCCCACTGAAACTTGTTCCGCCTACTATCACAGACAATGTAGAAAACCTTTACGTGCCCTGCACACCGCAAGAGGGAAACCAAATTTCTGAGTCTGCTTACCACAACCGGAAAAATCTTCACCCACTCTACATACCGCAAGAGGGCAACCAAAATCCCAAGTCTGCTTTGCCGCCATGGGAATAAATCTTTACCCACTCTACTTACCGTACAGGGCAACCTAACTTCCAAGTGTGCTCCACCATCACGGGAACAAACCAATATCCTATTCTTCTTACCGCATGAGCAACCAAATTACAAAGTCTTCTCTACAACCACGGTGATAAGTCAACTTCTCACATAGCTATACCTCACGGGAGCTGAAGAGCGCCCCTACCAAGCAATATCTCACAGGAGCTGGCGAGCCCCTCTACCAGTCAACAACGCACGAGAGCTGACGAGTGCCCCTACCAAGCAATACCTCACATGACCTGGCAAGCCCCTCTATCATTAAACAACGCACGGGAATTGAAGAGCGCCCCTACCATTCAATACCTCACAGGAGCTGACGAGCCGCTCTACCAGTCAACATCACGCGAGAGCTAAGGAGCCTCCTACCATACAATACCTCTCACAGGAGCTAGCAATCCCCTCTATCATTCAACAACGCACGGGAGCTGAGAAGCTCCTCTATCATTAAATACATAACCGGAATTGGCTAGCGTTAAAGAAATATAATGGTGTGAGTATCAGATAATTTCTCGCGTTGGCGAACGCTATATAAAAACGTAAATTTTTCATCGTCAATAAAGATTATCAAAGGAATTAAAGTCCTCGCAATCGTTGATCTTATACCCACACACAAAATTATGAACGATTCTCACATCACCCAAAAATCACATTCTTTTTAAAGATCTAATACAACTGTCATGCCACTTCTTGAAAATGTGGTGTCCTTATAAGAACTTTGTTTAACTCTTTATACAAAGAGATATACAAAGGGGGGCAACTGTAGACACCATATTTTGTCTTGGGCAACGAATGTACTTAAACTCAAAAAAGGAAAAATTATAATGATGAATTAAATAGAATGCTTTTGAAGGATTTGGTTGAGATTAGCAGTGGCTAGTCAGTAAGTACCAATAGCTCCAAACTTCAGTCTTATTTAGTTCTAATATCAAAGTGATCAAGATTACCAATGACGCTAATGATTAACTAGATCATTCCTATACAATTCTAGATAAATTATTTGAGATTTGCAGTGGCAAATCTAAAGCATCAATGACCAAAGCTACCCATGTCAAGTTTTAAGTTCGCTCAATTGGATGAAGCAATAGTAACTTTAATTTTATGGTTGGTTGGTTTACCGTGTAAAAGACTACTCAAGGTTTGCGTTTGGATTTGGATAGGACATAAGAGATGAGCTTAATTGAATAAAAGAAATAGAAGTTTTGTTTTGTCAATTATACATCAACATAAAGGATTACATTTCGATAAAAAAACAATGACCTTGATTAATATTCCATGAGCTCTTAAAACACAATTGCTAACATATGCAAAGATAAAACAAAATACAACTCCAATCAAATGAAAACCCAAACTAGGCTTGAAGCCCATCTCCTTGGCACTCAACCCAGCCATAGACCTGCAAAAGAACAAATTTGAAAACCAGTTCAGGCCCAAGAGTGAAAGTCCAATTCCAGATCTGATGCCCAATTCGAGACTAGGTCGACCCAGAGTACTAGGCCCACAAGTCCACAGACTGGTTTGGCCCAACATGGTCCAACCTTATCCAAACCAGTCTCAGCCAACCTTATCTACGATTTCGCCTGCCAAGGTAAGTCTGCAATTCTGCAGTGACAACCTCAAAATCGGCCAATCACCAAATGACATGTGGCATACAGTTTTGTTATAAGAAGAGTTCTTAAACTCTTGTTTTGGGGGACGACCTTTGGAGGGGGGATGGAGATAATTGGCAGAAACAGACAATCAGAAACAATTTTTCTTTTTTTTTCCAACCTTCTTGGATACAAAGTTCATTACAGTGATTGGCATTAAGGGGCATTGATGAAGAAAGATAGCTAGAAGCCATTGTCATTAGACTACAGAAATCAGGTTGGTCTTCTTCCTTTTGGTTCTCATTTCCATCTCAATCAAGTGAAGCTTTAATTAAGCTCTATACATCGAAATAAGCTCTTTCTCAAACAATTCACTAAAAGTAGAGCATAATTTAATGATCTTTGCTTATTTAAGTCTGTGCTTGATGACTACAGATTTGTTATTGTGCATCATATATGCTTGTTGTCTTATTATAACTGTCTCTATCTTACATGACTAAAACATGACAAGTTTTGTTCGCTTAAAGTAAGACAACTTATCCATGTCTATTAAAGCATACATGTTATCAGATATGATCTTTCAATACTCTCTAGTTGAATTGTTATTTGATCTAGTACGTTAGTTACTTTGCCTTATATGTTCGCAAGTCACGAACACGATTATAAAAATTTCTTTTGCTAGATTAATAAATAACAAAAAAAAAAAAAACAGATCAAACTTGGAGGTATTTAAAACACCTCTTTTTGCTTAAGTTACTCCCTTCCTAGTTCTCTTGGTTAATTAGATCACAAGCGACGACTGTGATCATTAAAAGGTTAGTCTTATTTTGTTTATTAACCTTTTTTATGTTAAGTTTCAACCCGATCCAACGAAAGCCCCAAAAACCATAAATTTCAGAATTACAAAAACATACCAAATTTCAAAATCAACTATTTTATCAAATTCCAATTTTGGAAGAAGCTTCCCATCAAGCTGATGGTCATAGCCTGCGGCAATAACCCTCGGTCACCTTGGATTCGTTTTAGCAAATTAAAACTTAATAAAACCAGTACGTTTTTATCGATCTTAATGAAACGCTTTTTAGCCAGATAACCCCCAGTAGAGAATTCGAACCCAACTCTGGGATTTGGACACCCAAACAGATTAATAAAGAAAACTAAATCCTAGTCCTAGGCATCTAACACCCAATAATCTAGTCTAAGTCGTAGAAACCTGTACAAAAATAAGAAAAACAAAGAGTTAAAACCTAAAAATAAAAAAGCAGTAGTAAACCAAAGCCCAGAATAAAAAAATCAAAACAAAAGAAACTCACCGAAACCATCTGTCGTCGGACCTGGTGCAAGCAGCGCTGCCGCCGACTTCCTTCTCTTGGCAGAGACCCGAAAACAAAAACAAAAAATCAAAAACCGAAATAGGTTGAGATCTTGATCGAATGCAAAATCGAACAAAAACATACATGCATGTGAAAAAGAGCTTACCAGAGGGTAAGATCTCCCCGTTGTCGCCTCTGTTCCAAATAGAAGGAGTAGATCGAGGACGGGGCTGAATAGATGGTGTGTCCCCTCGGTTTTGTGTCGATTTCTGAAAATACAAACAAAAAATAGGGATTAGAATCTCGATATCCCTAAAAACATACCTAAAAATGGTAAAATTCGTACATCCAAAAGGAAAAAAAACCTTAAACTTTAAGGCCGTCGTCGCCGTCATCATCGGCGGCAGCGCATGCTTCCAGTCGCCGGCGGTGACGCCATTCTTCGAGTTCTTCGTCTCTTCCTGAAACGAGGAGAGGGAGAGAGATAGATCGACAGAGAAGAGGGCTCGTCCATTTCCCTTTCTCGGTGTAGAGGAAACGAATATGAGAGGGGGAAGAATGAGAGGGCGGCGTTGCATTTGAATTAGGGTTTTTATTTGCTTCTGCTGGAAGAAAAGACGAAAAAGAAAAGAGAGGTTCGCCTTTTTTCTGGGCGAAGGGAACGAGAGAGGATCGAGAGAAGAGAGAAGAGAGAGGTGAGAGCGGCAGCCGCTTTTGGCTGATGGGTTAGTTTGATTAGGGATTTTTTAGAGACTATATATACCGCTCGGGTCTAAAAGACGGTGTTACCCCTAGGGTTTCGTCGTAATTACGCGGCCTTGCCACCGCTTTTTGGGATACAAAACTACCCTTCCTCTTTCTCTGAAATAAAAATGACGATAAAAAATGGAGGTGAATGGGTTTAGAACTCTCGTTCTCGGGAACGAGTGCGTTCTGTGACCGGCAATTTAACTAGTTGGGCTGCTGGCCCATCATGCGTAAGCATAACCATCCCGTTTAGGGGTCATTTGCTTCAAGGATTTTATAACGAGGATTTTGTCATGGATTTGCTAATTAAAAACCTTGGGATTTATTAGGGATTTTGGGCATTATGGATTTGAGGAAATCATTTGTTTGTTGAGCTTTTTTTATCATGGATTTGATGGTTTTTCAGTTTGTCTCCAAATCCCAGGGTATGAGGTGGGATTTATAAAACCGTGGGGCCCATGGATTTGGAGCAAAAAAAAACCCCAAATCCGTGGGGCCCACAGATTTATCTAAACATTTTGTTGACAAAGCAAACAACGGATTGTGTGTAAATCCATGGTGGTTGGTTTTTTGGTACCAAATCCATGATGCTAATCCTTGAAGCAAACGACCCCTTAGTTTTATTTGTTTAAAGTCCTTAATACGAAATATTGAATGTGGATTAAGTTCGTTTTGCTTCTTTACTGATAGGCAAAATACACTTTCATATCCATAACTATTCGCGTTGTGACAATAATAGTCACTTTTTGAAAAATACACTGATATAGCCACTTTTTTCAAACTTGCTTGGCAAATTTAGCCATTTTCGTTACAAACTTTAACGTCGTTATGGACGCCGTCAATAACCCCTACATGTTGCTGAGGTGGATGCCACCTGGACGACACGTCATTGCCAACTAGATGTCTTCATGCCTTGTCATATTAAAATTATATTTTTAATATAAATAATTAATTTTACTGAATAAAAAAAGTTTAGAAAGAAAGAAATCATTTTAGTTTCTCTTTCTCTCTCTATTCCTTCGTCTCTTCCCCAAATCCCTTACGATCCCCACCGGCGCAGCATGAGGAATCCAATCGGTGACTCCTCCGTCCCGCGAAAAGAGCCGGCAAAAACCCAAGCGGTACTCACTCCCCGCATCCATCAGCTTCGATGAGCCCATCGCCTTCTTCTTCTGCTTCTTTGCTTCAACGCCGATCTCGTCTCTTCCACATAGACCATCATGGATGATTTTGATGCCCCAATTGCTCACAAACCTAGCAACCGCCTCTCTCTTGGTCGACGAAATAGGAAGATTTGAAGAGGAGCTTGAAATTGCCGACGAAAATCATGTCGGTCGAAGTTGGGGATTTTGATGGCGGTGGCACAATCGTTAGGGATTAGGGTTCATCGGCGTCGTCTGAATCGAAAAATGGGGAATAAGAGTCGGAATCGGTGTCGTGCTGGTGGAGAATATAGGAGTCGGAATCGGAAAAATGGGGATACGGGTGGAGTAGATCCGGCGGGGAACCGTCCTCTCTCGATTCATACCATATAACTAGTGCAGAGGCAGGGGAAGCGGTGGTCGGGGTCGGAGAGTAGAAGTAGTTTATCAGCGGTGGTGGCGGAGAGAAGAGACGAAGATTACAGAAGTGGGCTTTCCGGTGCGGAGGAATTGATGGAGTTGGAGGAGCTGAAAAGAGTCGGAAGCGGCATCGTGGAGGGTGAAAAGAGATTTTGAGATTTGGAGATGCGGCATTGTTGAGGGCACTAATGCCTCTGCTCATCTTCGCTTTCATTTTCTTTTTTTTTTCCAGTTAATTAAAATAATACTATTTCTCTTACAAAAAAAAAATAATACTATTTCTAACTTGGAAAAGTCAAGAGGAAAAATTGCCACGTGAGGATAAACCGTTAGTCCAGTCAGCACTGATGATGTTTCCGTTAAAGTTTGGGACGGAATGGCTATATCAGTGTATTTTTCAAAAAGTGGCTATTATTGTCACAACGCGAATAGTTATGGCTATGAAAGTGTATTTTGCCTTTTTGATACATCAAGTTTCTTCTTAATAATTAAAATTCTTGCATTCAGTTTAGTAACATCATAATAATCTAATTGAAGTTTTATTAACAAAATTATAATGCGAGAATAACGTTCAGTGGAACGTGATAAAAGTTGTGATTAAAACTATCAAAGTTAAATCCTTAATATGAGAACCACTATAAGTGTAACATGACAAAAGTTATACAATTAAATTATCAAAGTTATAACGAACTACGTGGACTTTGATCCCGTGTAACGGATACATAGGCAACAAAAAGGTTCAAGTCCATCTAACTAATTAACTTTATCTTTTTTTTTTTACGTCGGTGGGCGTATGATTTAATTACAACTAATACGATTCAAATTCTTTAGTGGTCTAGCAAGGCCCTAAACATAGCAAGAAATACCTAATAATAAACTAATACGTCAATGGAGGTTTATTTAAATTATACCTAATGAAATAGTAATATAGTAATGATCCATTAGGATTTTAAAAAATAAATTATTACTAAAAATACACCCAGACGGTATAAAAACTTATCGACTTAAGTAGTACCAATTTTGGGTGTTGATGGGGTGTTGGTTAACCTCCCCATATGTACCCGTACTCCCGAACCCGAATCTCTTAACCACAGACAAAGTCTCGGTTCTATCCCTAAGGTTAGAGCCGACCGAAGAGTGTTCGATCTACTCTAAGTAAGATCAATGGCAACTGCCAAAAAGCGAACGCTACCCCTACGCCGGAGGGGCGGTTGCGACAAGTGCCATTATACTCCAAATGATGAGCCAAATTATCGAGATCAGAGGTGAGATGATGATTAGCACCATAATCGAGAAGCCATTGTTGGGATGAGTAAATGAGTTGAGAGGATTGGGCTAGGTGAGAGGTGGGTCCAGGATGATGAGTGGGCTATTGCGGAAAAACAGGACTTGGACAATTTTGGCCGGATATGACCCTTTCCACCATATTTGTGACTTAGGTAACCAAAGCGCAGAGCGAGAGCGGAAGCGGGAGCGTCAGAGCATCAATTTCTCAAGAATTAAATATTGAGAGCGCAAATAGATTGTTAATGTTATATTATTCCAGCGGTAAGGGAGCTGGAAAACTACAGGGTAGGGATTAGTTTGTCTTCTATGAAGTTTGTAAGACAGTGTCCTGATCGTATTAGATGAATAACAACCGTCCATTCATAAAAAATAATATTATTCTAATTAATAATTCATTTTTCCTCAAAATGTTATTTAAAACATTAGCAAGATTATGACAATTTGGTGAATAATTATGTAAAATAAAATGATTCCTATGTTGTTTAAAACATTACTAGTTTCATTTCATTATTAAATTAATCTTTTTGATAAAATGAGAAAATATCAAAGGTTTGCCTACCAAAATGAGAAAATGAAATATATTGGTATCCCTTATTTCTATCCTATCGTCATTTATCCCCGAGTTCAAGTTTCACGAAGGAAAAGAATCCCAACCTTCCCTCTATACTCCCCTATCTTGATTCCCAGCTCCATCGTCCCCTCTCTACCCAACTGATTCCTAGTCGATCGGCAGCGACTACTATCTAACTCTTATCAATTTTGAAATTCCCCTTTTCCAATCTGAACTTTAAAAGTTTGAAAGTCCCCTATATTGAGTAGCGGTGTTGCTCTTGGTGGAGCTGGTGACATGTAGTCGATAGCGATTGGGGTGAAAATGGAGCCGGCTCAAGATACAGTGCATAACCATGTGTTATGCACCCATGAGTAACCAAATTTGGACCATTTATTTAAAAAATCCAGATCTAACGGTGGAGAATTAAAAACATTTTTATTTTCCCTTGTTTTTTTAATCGGCTCATATCTTCTTCGTTTTAACTCGGATTTCATTTTTTTTTTTTTTTGCATAGATGGGAGGAGTATGTTGTGCTCTACAAAATGAGATCCATTTTCAATATTTTTTGAGAAAAAAAATTATCGCCTCTCGTTACCAACTACATACCATATGGCATCTTCTTCGTTTTGAAGTCGTTTTTGAATTTTTTGCACAGAAGAAACGAGTTCATCATGATCTATTGGATATTCATATTTATGGGTGAACAAAATTCAGGACCAAAAAATACTACACAATACCATAGAATACTACCCTGGTACGGGGTGATATCTTGTGGTAGACAATGTTGAAAGCCGTAAATTACAGTTACTATATGATATGCTCTTATTTCAATATCATATGATCTGCTCTTATTTCCATACCAGTCAATACCATATGATATAGACTGGTAAAAAATGGCTGAATTATTTTTGTTCCAAAAATATATCAATGTGGATATCATTTTGAAGAGCACAATTAATCTGATCTAACTAGGCAAAAAAAATTAAATTATGACTTAAAACGAGTGAGAAATTGTCCGTTAAAGATTAATGGGGAAAAATTAAAATCTCTTCAGGAGAGATAAGGTGCGCTGATGTGGCGGATTCTGATTCCGGTATGCATAGTTATTGACCACAACGTTATGCACCTGATACGCTTCCAATGAAGCCCTATAGTTCAGCTCCCTATAGTTCAGCTGGTGTTGTTGAGAAACTGAAGTCATCGGATATTGACGGAAGAGGATGAAATACGGCCGCTTGAAGTCATCAGCACCTCCTCCGACCGTTGATGATCAACCAAATTTCACCTATGCAATATGGTATGAGAATGATCAATTAGTCCTCACGTGGATTAACTTTTCGTTGTTTGAAGCTGTAATATCGAATATCATAAACAAAACCATTGCTTTCGCCACGTGGGAATCTCTGGCCAAGATCTATGCGTCCGGTTTGCCATTCATCATCGAGCAA